TCCTGCTTTCTGCTGTGGCCAGCACTCTGCCCTGGCTTTCCTCTCCGGGATCACCGACCTGCCACCAAAGTGCACTCGGTGACCAGGTCTCTGCTATCAGCAGGGCAGGACCCACCCTCAGGTTACCACTCAGAGCTTTCGCAATCTGACCCCCCCCACCCCCGTGGTGCTTGTGCCCCGCCTGTGTTTCTGTCATGAAGAGCTCCCAGCTGTCTCTGAGCAGTACCACCTTTTTTTAATTAATAGAACAATCTTAATTTTTAAGAACAATTTTAGAATTATAGAAAATTTGAGTTGTTAGCACAGAGAGTTCCCATATGTTCCTCTCCTCTTGCCCTGTCCTCCCGGGTTTCTCCTAGGGTTAATACCTTCCCCAGTGGAGTACTTCATTGCAGTTAACAAACCGGTATCAACATCTTGTTAACTGAAGTTCATAGTTTATGTTGTTTTACTTTTTGTTGGTAATATAAGTATTTTTAAATACCCTTTAAAAATCTTTTTCAATTTTGGTTTTCCCTGCTTGCATGCTCTTTCCTTGATCTTGGCAAGATTTTTTTCAAGGTCAAATATGAATATCAGTCTTTCTGCAAAGCCTTCTCTGTTTATTTTTAAAATGGAACCAGAAGGGAGGGAGCAGACAACACAGAAGAAAACCGACATTTTTATCAGGTTCCTAGTGTATTGCCAAGTAGTATTTATATTCTTCTGAATCCCTGTACAATCACACGAGGCAGATGTTATCACAGTCGTCCCCTTGTCTACAGTTTCTCTTTCTGTAATTTCAGTTAGCTCTAATCAGCTGCAGTCCAAAAATGTTAAATGGCAAATTCCAGAAATAAATAATTTATGAGTTTTAAATAACTTTTATTATAGTCTATCATTTTCTATTTTTAGTTACTGTCCTTAATTTCATACTGTGACTAATTTATAAATTAAACTTTGTCATAGGTATGTGTATATAGGAAAAAACATAGTGTACGTGGGGTTCAATATGTCTGGGATTTCAAGCATCTACTGGGGGTCTTGGAATGTATCCCCTTCAGATAAGGAGAGAACCGCTGAATACTCATTTACAGATGAAGTCAGTTGTTCGAAGGCTCACAGCTAGTGATTGGTTTACATCCATGTCTACCCAGCCCCAAAGTCTGTGCCTTTCTCCCCTCTCCCATGTGGCTGGATTCTGACCGCTTATCCAGCCTTGCTGCTTCCCCCATCAGACTGAGTCCACTAGACTTGGCAGCACTGCATTTTACAGCTCTGTGTTGCCATTCCAAACACAGAAGCTGGTACCTGCAGCAGGTCACTGAATCCAAGGGGATGTGTCTTGAAGAAGTTACTACAGAAGGAGTCACCAAATATCAATGTCAGTACAATGTGGCAGGTGCTGATTGAGATCTTACTATGCACCAGACTATTGGAGGGGGAGGTCAAGCATAGAAAGGAAAGTGCTGGCGATGCAGCTATGCAGGTTATGGGGCTAGGGATATAGCTCAGCAGTATTGCGCCTGCCGGGCAAGCACAAAGTCCTGAGTTCAATTCCCAGCACCCAAAGCTGTGCAGATTATAAATCTCCACCAGGGGGCTGGGGATTTAGCTCAGCGGCACAGCGCCTGCCTGGCAAGCACAAGGTCGTGAGTTTGATTCCTGGTACTGGAAGAATAACAAAAAACAAAACAAAACAAAAAAATAAATAAATAAATCTCCACCAGGCAGCACCATTGAGGCTGTGGATTATCCATGACTACACTGCAGAAGACCAGGGACTGTTTGCTTTCTGCCACAGACCTCCAGACAGTGCCTGGTAATAATAGTTGCTTAATAAATATCTGTTGACTAGATCTTTGAATCCTGTCACAAATTGGAACTCCTAAAATGACATTCAGCCTCTCAGCATTCTCATGTGTGTTCAGTCACTTTCCCTTAGGGCAGTGGTGGTGAACCTTTAAGAGATCAAACACCCAAACTGCAACCCAAAACCCACGTATATATCACAAAATGCCAACACTGCAATTAAACCTGAATACTGAGGTTTTAGTTTAGAAAAAACAACTCATACATTAACATCTCTCTTTTTTTTTTTTTTTTTTTTTTTTTTTTTAAGAGAGGGTCTCGCTATGCAGTTCAGGCTGGCCTTGAACTCACTTTGTAGCCCAGGTTAGCCTCGAACTCACAACGATCCTCTGCCTCAGCCTTCCGAGTGCTGGGATTACAGGTGTGCACAGGCATGTGTGCCACCACACTCAGTCACATTAACATCTTTTGTCTTAAAAGAAAAATACAATAACAGAGCTTTCAGTGGTACAGACAGCTTTCTGTTGCGAGGTAAAAGTTTGCATGAGGTGTGCTTTTGCACAATTAACGTGACCTTTCCTGTAGTATACCTGCTGATAATTTGTCAAACCTTGGCTCAAGTGCGGACAAAGTAGGCTCTGCATGCCATAGGTTCACCACTGCTGCCATGCGGTCTGGCAGCTTTGGGGGTCTCTGTACTTGGTTCAGACCAGCTCTGTATTAAAGGCTATTTGCAAATTATCCCAGGCCTGCTCCCACCCCGACTCTTAGCCCAGAATCTGTGCATCAGAACTTCAGACCAGAGGAAAGAAAGGCATTGCCTTGCCTCTGGCAGCCTCTAGAGCTGAAGGACAAAAGGCCCTTCCCGGGAGCTGCTGAGAACACGAGGCCTGACCACGGATCCTAGTTCTAGAAGCCTGGCCTTAGGCCTGGACCTCACACCAAACGATGGCCTCATTTTTCTTGAACCTAACACTCGGTGTCATATGAGCATGGTTGTGTATTCAAATATTTTCATTAATTTTGTGAAAGAAAAATATTTTTTAAAACACTAGCCTGTTTCACACATTTAGTTACAAAACTTTTCTCTCCTCTTCCTCTGGCTTCTCTCTTCCTTCTCTTTCCCTGCCCCATTTTTTCCTTGACTTCTCTGACCTGTTCTTCATTTATATAGCTCTCTCTCTTCTGCTTGCTTATTTGCGCCAGATTCTTCCAATGCACCTCTTTCTCCAGTCACCCTATGTAAACAGATCACTTTCCATTCGTTCCTGGTGAATAACCAGGATCACAATTGTCTAGTTTGTGCCCAAGGTGACAGAATTGATGGACCTGTAGGCTGATTTTCGTAAACCAGAGCTACCAAGCGTTTCAAAAACAGTCTTGTTTTTGCCAAGCGAGGTGAGCAAATATACGACTAAGTTTAAACATCCATCAGGAGTTATTTTTGAAGTGATCACTTCTAAATGAGAAGTGTTTGAAAATCTCACGGCTTTTTTTACAAGTAAATTCCAAAGTCATGTATTTTGCCTGTGTCTGCTGATTAATTCTGATCCTATGACAACATGAAAAGCCCCAGTGGTTGGTTCGGTCCAGCTGTGGAGAAAAGAAAGCAAGCTCAGTGACTTTGCCAGCTCTGTCAGGACAGTGGGGACTGAGGCTGAGGGAGGCATTTTTCCCTCTGGCAGTCACCACATAAGAACAGCAGCTCCAGCCAGACCCAGTTCTCTAGACTCCACGTGGGCGGTTTGGGTCCCTGAGGGGGTGTGGGGAAGGGGTGACATCTGATCTGTTGCTTCTGTAATAACAGACCCTTTATGAGAGAAAGCATTTTTGCCCTCTACACTGGGACTTGTGTGCATTTTCTGATACAGTTCTGTTTAAGGAAAAAAAAATAGTTACATATAGCAAAGTAACCAAGATTTCTTTTGATTCTCTAAACAGAGGGTGCTCAGCATGTATTGTTGGTGGCAGTTGCAGATGTCTGACCCAGGCAGACTTGCCCGCTCACCCGTTTAGGGCCTGATGGTTCTGGACCTACTTTATCTTGGCCTCTTGCTTTTTCTTATTACTCCCTTCTGTGTCTACCTCTGAATTACTTCACTGCTGCAAGTCCAGTCCTTCTTTGGCAGGCGAGAAAAAGGAGAAAACGCTGATGTGGTTACTTAAAAACAAAGAATCATCTGCTGCTCAAGTGAAGAAGGCAATAGAGAAAAAAAATATTCAAATAGATGTTAAAGGTCTTAGTGTGTTTATCTGTTCTTGCTTTCCTCCACCTACCTTTTCCCCTTGATGTAGATAAGGGACCCTAAAACGGAAGGGTTTCTCTCACATGCATCTTTCTCCTTGGCACTAGTGAAGGTCAGAGAGTCTCAGCTACCCTTTATTCCCATTTGCTCTCTGCTGCAGACTTGTCCTCCTCGCAGAGGCTTTGTGGATGTCATTGCTGAGCACACACACTTACACATGGCCTGTGTCACTTGTCTGCTGGAACTGTGGCCATCATTCTAAATATAGGCTGCTAGAGAGACAACAGAGTCTGTCTTAATCTTTAATTCTGGTACAGAATGCCGCATAAGAGTGAGAGTTGGCACGTCTGTACTGCTGCCCCCACACCTGGCCTCTAAGAGATCTGCTATATCTCTGCCCATTATTTGAAGAGGCAAACATTGGTGTGGCTGCTTCTTCAGCCAACACTGTTCTGATGAATCCAGGCATGTAAACTAATTTAGACTCTGAGGAAGTTTATTTTTCCTATAGAAAGCTTTGACTGTAAAGGGTACATCTTAGGGTTGGAAATTTGTATCTCAGTAATAGTGCACTTGCCTAGCATGCATGAGACCCTGGGTTCCATCCAAGCACTGCAAAAAAGAAAAAGGCATGCTTTATTGTCATGTGAGACTGCTAACATAAATAAACCCTAAATGGTTGTTTTTTAAGACACTCCCAGAGCAAGTGACTGATCGCAGAGTAATGCCCAAGTTTTGGGATTGTGTGAGGGACCCGCAGCACAGGTGTAGGTAAGACTATGGGGTTCTCACCACTGCCGTCCTCCCAAACCGGCCTGCTTTTCTGCATATGTCAGAGCCACATCCTACAGGTGTCTCTTTTCTTTGAGGAGACTATTTCAAGGACACCTAAAAGGGAGAAACTAAGCATTTAGGAAAAATACATTTTTTACAGCATGATACTGCATTTTCTCTTTGGTTTAGGTTTCTCACTTGTTACAAGCCTACGCAGACTCCAAGCACAGGATGGACTCAGACTTTCAGCAGGAGCTGACTGACATCGCTGTTTGCACCAAAGCCAAACTCTGGCTGGCCAAGAGGTATGTTAAAACTCCACACGAGCAAGGACTTACGAAGGGGTAGCACTACATTTGAGAATTGCAGTTTCTAGTTGCGGGGAGGTTTAAAAGTTATTGGTGTGAGTTTTCTAAACTTACTGGAGTATTTATCCTTTTAGAATTTTAGCTTGTGGTAAAGAAAGAAAAATATTGCCTTGACAATTTTTAAAGCTCCTGAGTTCCTGGCGGACAGGTAACAAGGCTTTTTATCTGCCCACCGGTCTGCTGGGTTTTTAACAGCCACTGTGCCCGGGCCTGTATTAGACATGAGAACAATGGAAGGCAGTAACTGGCCCAGTCGTGTGTATAAACGGTCTCACAAGCTAGAGATCGGTGTCGGCAGGCACCAAGGGACGGAGAGGGTGAACAGGAAGAGGGGGTAGGAGTTGGCCATTTTTGAGTGGGCGGTACAATAGCTTGAATAAGCAGGGCAGAGAAGGGTGGATACATGTGTGTTTTTCATCTTTGCCATTTTTAGTTTATTCTGGAACTTAGAAAATTTCCTGTGTGAAAAATTGAGTAAATAGAATTTCTCACTTAATAATCTACAGGGAATAGTCTCTGTGACCTTGTATTTGATATTTTGTGTTAGCTTACTCTGATTTTGGCAGGACAGTGTTCCTGCAGGGTTGCTGTATGTCCTCTGTAAGTTCCAGCAAGGTGGGCCTTTGAGTGACCTTACTGCATTCCAGGTATGTGCGTCTGATTAAGAGTCAGTATATCAGTTGTCTGAGGCAGTAGGCTGTCTGTCTTTCTGTCTGTCCCCCACCCCCACAATGTGTTTCTGTTTAGTTTTGTTGGGCTCCCAGCTTATATGGCAAGTTAGGCCACGGGCAGTGTGAGACACACAAACCACTTTAACTCCACACAGTATTGCTGAGCACAGGCCGCAAGCCAGCGTTTGTGTTAGGACAGCTGGGGATGCGAAGGGAGAGAATAAGTGGTCTTGGCTTTAAGAGCTTCCAGGAGGTGAGAAAGATGTGTCAGTAGTTAATTTTCATTCACTTGGTTAAGTTAATATCAAGTATATGTGGTACAGGAGCAAGAGCTGAGTAGAATTTTACCAAATGGCCAGGGGAGGAGAATTGCAGGCTCAGCTGATAGCATAGGCAGAAACACAGCAGCTGAAAGAGGAGGGTAAGTTTGAAGAGCTCGCCTGTGGCAGAGTGAGGCTGAAGAAAAAGGCAGGGGCCACGGTGAGAGTTCCTAAGGTGACCTTTGGGTAGGGGAGCTGGTGACAGATGCCTCCCTGAGTGGGGGTGTGTCTCGGCCGTGGCCTCAGCGCCAGTCACTCTGGACAGGAACTCTGACTGAGAAGAGAGTCCTCTAGTGTCTGGAAAGTCAGAACCCCTATGGTAAATCTTTCATCATTAGTCAAATTGGTATTTGCTCCGTTTTATTTAGAATAGGAGTTGCTTGATCATAAAGTGTTTGTCTAAGCCTAGTACCATTTGTATTTTGCATTGCTCTTTAGACTCTCCAAGTCACATTTCCCAGGAGAACAGGTACTTGGGGTCACACTTAGACTCTCAGCCATTTACCGTTAATAAGTCTGGGCCTCCTAGCTATTGTTTCCAGGGGTCAGGCCGTCAGAGTTCTCTCCAAGTCTTGTTGTGGAAACTCCTCTTCTAGCTAGGACTGCCCCAAGAATCCTGACTTATAGTTCTTACAGTGCTGTAAGGAACGAGTTTCTGCCCTTTTATAGAACGTCATTGCCTACTGGCTTCTTAAGTCCATCCCTGCTCAGTGGGTGGCACAGGGAGGATGAAGTGACAGGCCAGTCGCTGATGGACCTTTGTCTTGTACAGTGCCTGCAGATGGCTGACAGAGCTGCGATCAGATTTCTCTTCAGCCCGAGAAGTGCTCCAAGCCTCTGTAAACCTTCCTGTAGGCCCTCTTTCTGTTCTCTAGTCAGGCCTTTTTATCACCACCACCATCATCATCATCTCTCCTCTCTGATTTTTCTCCTTGATTTTCCAACCCTAGAAAATAAAGGCATGAGTCACTGCACGTCATTGGGTTCTGACATTCATGAAGGTGGACGGCACCTTCTGAGACGGTACCTGCCGAAAGTCCAGGAAAGCCACTTCTCTGTTCCCAGTACAGTCAGCTCTCTGTTGTCCAGGTGTGAACTTTCCAGCTAGGGAGTGGCCTGTGGATGGTTCCTAACACTAGGTTTCCTTTTGCTCCACAACACACTTTTACAAGCTTTAATCAGGCTGTGTTCAGAGCCTGGAATGGAGTTTGGAAGGAAAACATGCTGTGAAAGCACAATACATTCCAGTTTTGTATCAGTCATTCCGTGTCAGCCCTCCCGTGGACAGGATTACTGTGAAGGTCCGAGACAGGCGAGTCCAGAGTCAGGTATAAGGGTGAGACCTCAGCCTAACCCATGCCTGCCTTGTGCTTGAGGGCCTCTTGTTGTGGCAGATGTTTGTATACACCAGTTAAGTCCATGCGCAGATGAACACTGAAGTCCTAGAGGTCCCCTCTCCGAGCAGACCCATCTTTGCTATCTCACATGCCTTTGCCGTGAAGATGCTCCAGTGCAGAGGAGTCTAAACTTGACCACTGAAGAGCCTCCTTTATGTTCCTGGTAATTTACACATGAAAGAAAAATAAGTGTTCCTTTGAGTCCCCTAAGGATTTTCTGTATCTTTTTAGTATAAGCTATAAAAAGCCCAGTGTTATTACAGAAAGAAAATGTTGGTTTAAATTTTAGCACTAACACCTTTTTCCTCCTACAATTTATTTGATCACTAGCCTAAGTTCTTTCAGTCCAGTAAGTACAAAAATTTTGGTGGATGTGTCATTTATTTTTCCTTTTGTTCCCAAAGATGCCTTTAAAAATTCATTGGAGCCATGAGATAACTAATTCAGTTTTCAATTTTTGACTCTGAAATTGAGGACACATAAAGACTTTTGTCATATATTTGTGTTTTGATTTTGTAAGATTAATAAGGATTTATATGAGGTGGTTGAGCAACAGCCATGGGCTTGTTGGGACTTTTGGTGATGAATGGCCAGCTGGCAACATGGCTTGCGCAGAGGACTGGGTTCCTGTTCTTACAGGCAACTTTTCATTCCGAGATGTCAAAGCCTTTATGGCAATCAGCTCGTTAATCCTTCAAGTCCCTTCTCTCCCCTTTTTCCTCCATCCCTCCCTCCTCAGGCCAGTGCGGTGTGCCTGTCATGGTCTCAGGCAGTTTACCAGCTATGGAAAGAAGACCGAGGCAGATAGAGGTGTGCCGCGGCCTGCAGTGGCTGGCTGGGTGCACCATGAAGAGGACTCGCCTCGTCTACGATGGTGGCCCGCCTCGCTGCTTGCAGACTCCAGCTCAGCTGTCCCAGCTGGATCGCAGGCCCTGGCTGGATAGAAAGGACTTTGAAAGCTCTGTCAGTCAGAGTAAGAGAATTCTTCAGAAGTGTGTTTGATTATCTAGTAGCTCCTTCCTTAGTTACAAAAGGGAGAGGAAGAATAGACATACATGCGTGCTGTGTGTCCCTGAAGTCAGCGGGGTGAACTGAAAGGATTGTTCAGATGAAGTGCAACAGGTGATGTGGTAACCAAAAAGAAATATGTTTGTTACAGAACTGTTTTCATCTTCTTTTCTTGTTGGTGTAGCATGTGCTCTATCACAGAAAATACCCAAGTACAAAACTGCGAAAAGAGAGGACAGAGTGTACTTTTACTACAATCTAGTGAAAACCACTATATTAGTTAACAGTTTTAATTACTTCATCTTTTTTCCTATACTATTTTTTGCCCAGCTAAAGTTATACTGTATATATAAGTTATATCTTCCTTCTTTGACTTGAGGGAATCATGAAAATATTTGTGTTTATTACTGAAACTCCTACGATGCAGCTATAGAAATAGTATAGCATTTCCTAAAAATATTGAAAATACAGTTACTCTATTCAGATTCAATTCTGGAAACACACACCAGACAATAAAAGCAGAGACTTAAAGAGATACTTGTACAACAACACTCATAGCTATATTATCACAGTAGCTAAGACATGGAACTGACTTACGTGTTCATTGATGAATGATAGTGAATGAACAGAATATGGTGCATACATGATATAGAAGATTGAAACTAGATCCATATCTTGCACCCTGTACAAAAACTCAATTCAAAATTGATCAAAAATTTTAATACAAGACCTGAAAATTTGAAACTGTTGAAGAAAACATAAGAAACATTCTAAGACATAGGCCCAAGCATTGACCTGAATAGGATGCCAGTAGCTCAGGATATAATAACAGGAATGGACAAATGGGACTGCATCAGATTAAATTTCTGCATAGCAAAGGAAACAACCAACAGAATGAAGAGATGGCTTCAGAATGTAGAAAGTCTTTGCCAGCTATTCTTCTGACAGAAGATTAATACCCAGAATATATAAAGAACTCAAACCAAAAAAAAAATATTCCAGTCATTAAGTGGGCCAATGAACTGAATAGACATGTTTCAAAAGAAGTACAAATGGTCAATAATTTCATGAAACAAAATGTTCAACATCATTAGCCATCAGAGAAATGCAAATCAAAACTGCATTGAGATTCCATCTTACCATCAGAAATACAAAAAAAAAACAAAAACAAAAGCTAGTAAGGATTTTGGGGGGAAAAAACCTGTTTACACTATTGGTGAGAAGGTAAACTAGTACGGTCACTATGGAAATTAGTATGGAGATGCCTCAAAAAGCTAAAACCAGAAATTCCACTTGATCTAGGTATACCTCCTCTATACTTGAGTGAATTAAAGTCAGTGTTCTATAGAGATACATGTGTGTCCGTGTTTATTGCGGCACAATTCATAATAGGTAAGCTATAGAAGCACCGTAAGTGTCTGTCAACTGAGAAGTAGATACAGAAAATATGGTTTATATATACAATGGAGTATTACTCATCCATAAGGCAGAAGGAAATCCTATCATTTGCAGGAAAATGGATGGAATTGAACATCATCATG